CGACGGAGGCAGTATGACCTCAGAAACGTTGGTAAACATCGACCAGACTACACAGCGCAACAACCCAGAAGGCAGAAATCTTCAATATAAATCTTCTCTCTGTCACAGTTATGAGTGAGTGAGTGAAGATAAATGTGTGCAAATCATTTTGTTATGTAGAGGTTAGAGTCAGTGATGGGTTGCAGAAGTTGGTTTACATATTGAGCATATATTGTAGCAGGTAAAAATCTCCAAAATTGTCTTTGATTCCAGAATTATGCGACATCTACATATTTGCATTTTTCTCTTTCAGTAAATATTGTAATCTCTTAAATTAATTATGTAATTAATTAAAATACTTCATAACAAACTGTAGTCACAGTGGCCAGTGGAAGGCTCTTCAGTGGGGTAAGTCAGTCTGCATGCAGTGGCAAATAGAAAAATTCTTGTTCCCGCCAAGAATTGGACCCTGGTCATGAATAAGTCTCTGTACTTATAAGCTACATCACCTTACATTTGTTGTATTTTTGCTACAATTTAATATATATATATATAATACTTACTGTAAGTTATTGTTTAAGGATTCAAGGCGAACAGCAGGGCGGAATGCATTATGCATATGGTGCAGGGCAGCACGCTGGTCTAACTGTTATTTTGAACACACAGCAGCTAGAATATTTTGCACCGGTGCGCCCCATGTATGGAATATGGGTGAGAAATATATGAACTATAATACCCGTTCTCTAAAATCATAATTGTATATTTTAAAAAACAGCTATTTGTTTAATCACATGTTAAAGCCCTTTCAACCCTTTCAGAGCTGGATTAGTTTTATTTAACAGTCTTCAGCATAATAGTTTATAACAAATTATGAAATGTACACGTAGCATCATAACTCTGGTATGTTTTCTTAGTTATTGCCTCCAGATTTTAATTTATGAATGCTCTCTTATAACCTGCATTAGTTATGGAAGGCTGTGTATTCCGTCGGAACATTATCTTTGCATAGTTGTCTGGAGTCAGTGACCTGGCACCTCTCTGGTATCTGTGTGACTTGCTTATGGCTTTATCACTGGGGAGTTTCTCCACATAGCTGCGTGGGAGGGGTCTACCTGTGGATTCCCCATTTGCTATGAAAATATAAAACTTCGGCAATTACGCAGTGATAGCAGCATAATTGCATGTGGCACCAGAATTCAATGTCTTTGGTACAGGCAATGTTCCATGACCCAGAGGACTATCCAGACATGGGCTTGCAGACGGCTTTAGTGGAGCCCAGACAGCTGGTCACGGTGATGCTGGAGGCACAGGTTGTCGAGAGTCTGGATGACGTGCGGTGGATCAGCGTGGAAAACCGCCAATGCTGGTTCGATGACGAGGTAGCAGTAGTGCACTCATCACCAGATTACAGCTACCATACCTGCATCACAGAGTGCCGTATGAAGGTGTTACAAGAAAAGTGTGGCTGCATACCATTCTTCTACCCACTCTTCGGTCAGTATTTACCTGTAAACTAGAATTAAAAAGGAGATTAATTCAAATATAAATGCTTGAAAATGTACTGTGTAAATTGTCATTCACAGGTTAACACTAGAAAGCATTAGTGATTTTTTTCTATTCTCTTTTCACATATTGGTTCCAGGTCTTAGGGTGTCTTGAAATAAAGATTAAATAGGAGGATAGTTTTCAAATGGATCTTTAGGAAAAAAGATGGAAGATGGGGAATACATTTATCTGGCTCAGTATATGGACAGCTATTGTGAGCATAGTAACAAATGATTGGGTTTTATAAAGAACTGGGAATTTCTCCACTAGCTGCGGACTTTGCTCCACGGTCTCTAAGCACCATGTGGTAACAAAGGCCTACTGGTTAAGTTTTAATACTTAATCCCCCATTTCCTACAACCTGTATTTTTAAGATACATTGTATTGATCTGAACAGCACTGATATATGTCTATTCTAACATTTTGTTTCCGTTTCAGATGAAAGCAGTCATGTATGTACACTCTTAGACACAGATTGCCTGAAGCGGTACAGACGTAAGTATCTTCTTTCATAGTTCTTCCTGAGAGGAAAAAGAAACACAGTCTATAATGCATACTTCCTCTAGTATATGAGGCCTGATCAAAAAGTATTAAGACTGATCTGTGGAAACAAAGATTCTACTGACAAGAATGTGAGATAATTTCTTTGAAAGAAGGTTCCTTCAGCATGCACACATGTTTGACCACTGCAAAGACCTGGGTGAATCTCAGGCATTTGCAAGTAACATTTGTGGTGAACAAAGGATCATTCATCATTGCTCCATTGTCTTCTGTCACTACCCCATGTGGCATGCAGTCATTCAGCATTTTATCATACCCGTGGTCCTAAGTTAGGGGCTTCATTTCTAATCCAGCACTTGGTTGGTCTCAAGGTCAAGATTTTTTAATCTCAGTATTTTGGTGTTGTAATTTCTTGA